CCCCTCCCCCAAGAATTATCATTCATTTTTCCGAATAAAAGTTGGTTATCATGCAAAATGTAAAATAAAACAAAAAGAATACTCGTCAATGCACTTCTTTAATGTAATGTGCTATGACATAAGTTTGGGATTAGTGCCTCAATACTATCATTACCTTTTCATGCTGCATTTATTTATTTCCTAATTAAGATGGCCATATTGTTTGATTTTCTGCCCTGCTAGCTATGTTGCAAAAAGTAATTATAGATCCTAGTTGCTTCTCTAGTTTATGATATTATTGCTAAAAATCCTGTGAAGTCACATTTTAATTTGTAATAATTTTAGTATCAATTATGTTTTTTACCTCAGATATTTGGGACTCCGAAGGAGCATCGACACTCTAAACCATACCATGATCATGTATTTGTTTTCTCCATTGTTGATGACCACATATGGTTCCGAAATTACCAGGTATGCTTTATTTATTCTACCTTCTACAGAATTTGATGCTCTCAATTGTGTATAGCGTCCAAATGCATACATTACTTGACAATCAAATCATGTACTGGATGTTGTCTTTCTTTTTAATGTTTGCTCACCACATTTTTTAAAACATGGCCTATGAAAGCAGAAAAATATATTCTACATCATGGCAGGTAAAGACATCGGGAAAACTTCGAGTATTATCAGTTTCAGTACAGATGTCAATTATTTTTTGACATTGGAAGTATATTAATAATTGGTTGAGTCTTTTGATCGACGCGTTTTATATGAAGACCAAGATAAGAGCTTGGCCATGAAGCCCGCCTTGGAGCTGCAGAAAGATGGTCAAACCTATTGTGAAGAGTCACAACTATTGTTCAATAGCTCAGACATTTTACATATAAATGATATTAAGTCCAAGAAACGGGAGTATTAAAAAAAGAATGAGATGAGAGCATTTTCTTTTCAAATACCTCTAGAAGCTTTGGTTTCCCTTCTTGGTTTGTATTGGAAGATCTAGTCTGCCTTGTCAAAAGCTTTTTCTAGTTTTGAAAGGTTATGACCAAGGCTTCCTTACAACGAAAAATGGTGGGAAAAAAAACAGCGCTCAATTTTTAGAGGTAATGATCAAGGCTTCATTACCTCGATTCTCGTCGGCTTTGCATCCTCTCTCCTCTCTATCTCGATTCTCCTTCCTCTCTATCAATCTCAATCTTTGTTTTTTCTCACTTGCATCTTCATTCCATGCAAGCCCTTTCAGAGCTGTTCCATGCGCAGTCTCCTATGTCTCTCTCATTCTAGGCTTTAAAATTTCTCTCCTCATCTGCATCTATACTCCAAATCGCTCATTGGCAGCTTCTCCACCTGATCCTGGCCTCTTGTTTCTCTCGATTGTTGTCTGTTTCCAACCATTGAATGACGCGACTTTTAGGGTTGGTGGGTTGGGTTGGATACTGCATTCAGTTTCTCCTAGTAGATAAACTGGTTTGGGTTGGCCCATAAAGTGCCTTAACCTGACCCAACCTAACCCATGCACAGCCCTAGTTTCCTGTTCCTATTAGACTCCTTTGCCTATGCATTTTCTTTTTATTCCATAAAATATATGTTCACTTTTGCAATAATTGTTGGTATATTTTCCCTGATTTGTGTGGGTGTGATCTCTTCCCCAAGTAACCATTATTTCATGATATGGCGTTTGCCATGTTTGTTTGGTGTGATCAGATATCTGTTCCACATAATGAATCAGATAAAGTTGCCCGAGGAGGACTAGATAAAATGACACTCATCGAGGTTACTATTTTTCCTTGTCCTGCTTAGTTTATAAATATGATTTTTTCACAATTTTGTTTATTCGACTTCAAAGATTTCTTTTTTTTTTTTCCTTTTTTCTTTTTGTAGGTTGGTCCTCGATTCTGTTTAAATCCAATCAAGATATTTGGTGGAAGTTTTGGAGGTCCAACCCTATACGAGAACCCGCTTTACGTGTCACCAAACCAGGTTAGATGACTACTTTTTTATCTTCGGGGATTACATGTCTTCACTATGCCTTTTCAACCTGCTTTTACATATTTTCTGAGAGCTCACATTTGCATTAATTATCAAGAAGAGCAAACTGCGTTGAGACATTAGCTATTCTTTTAGGGTTTCTCTAAGTTCATGTTTTCCAATTCAAGTGTCTTTGAGAAATGATCTGCTCATCTCATTTACCATTATGCTTTTGGTAATGTCTTTTACACGGTGTAAAACCCAAAATTAGCAATATTCTCTAGAATACCTCAGAGAACAGTTTCTCATTTTGTACGAATTTGCAATTGAGTCTGATAATCTGTACTTTTAACCATTAAACATATACCTGCTTGCTCATGTTTATTATGTCCATTAAATTTAACCATTAAACATATCCCTAGATTCGAGCATTGGAGAAAAAGCAGAAAGCCGGTAAATACTCAAAGAAAGTCAAAGCGAAAACGAGGAGGAAGATGCACGAGCTATCGAATCCATTGGAACAAGATGAGTTTGCTGATATGTGGAAGGAATAGTCTCTCTATGGACTTAATTTTGTCTAGACTCCGAACCCGAGTTCCTTACCTCCAGTATGAAATCGGAATTTGATCTATAATCTATAATACTGTGTCATCTGTAGTGCAAATTTTGGCCTTGTTATTTACTTGAAGCTCGAATTCGGTTTCTGTACCTTCAATATTTTTTGTTTAAGTCTCCTCAGTGAATTACTTTAGATACAGTTTTACTAGAAAACAGCTTCGTTCCAACCCTTGTTTGGGTATAATGAGTTCTTAAACATATCCTGAGCCCCGTAATTCATAAACTCCAACTCGTTGAGATACGATTACTGTAATAAAAGACGCAAGAAGAATAGGGCAACGACCCAAAAGTTCATAAGAACAAACGTAGTTAGATCCTAGAAAAGCAAGCATAAAAAGTCCACCCATGCAAGAGGAGTCGACCAATAGGCTCAAGGGTCGGCCGAAAATCATAATAGGCCAATCCTCAAGGGGTTGTCCTAGCTTACTTGGCTAATGTTTGAGAGCCGATTAAGGCTTCAACCGATCTCTCGAGAATTGATCAAGATATCTTTGATGAACGTCATTGAGCAAAATTTACCTTGAATGAGAGAAAAGACTATGAGTTGGCTGGTGACCAACTTTTTGACACTTGAAGAGTCTATTAAACTTGAATGGGAGAGATTGAGTAACCATTTTGTAATGATGTCATTTTGATAACTCTGTGAGATTTTTGTAGGGTGTCGAGACATTCAAGTAGACATTACATATATACAGTTACAAAATATAGTCTCTAACGACATTTCAAGATATGCAGCAAATACATACTTAAGCATCCAAGTGTAAATGACTTATAACCACATGATGTTCTTTTCCTTATTTTATAGGCACGTTTTGTTATTGGTAATATAAATTTATCGTCGATTTGACGATTTAGATTTCGATATCAACAATTGGCATCATCTGTGAGAAAAAACTTTGTGTTGTGTTAAGAACTAAACCCTAGAATCACGAGCAACAACATGAGCCATAACATCTAGGCGACAGACAGAAATGAATCTGACGACCTGACATTTAAGGTAGGTGTCTACCAACAAAGAAGATAAAATAACGAGATCGATAAGTAAGTGGGTTCCACTAAACCAAATCATGTAGCCGGTTAAGCTCAGATACAATAGATAAGTATGTAGTCTTGGAGTAGAATGTTCAAGGATTGAATCACAATATCACATTGAATATGGACATTCTTAATCGTCTAAATCCAATTGTGGAGACATTGTAAAAAAAAACACTAGCAAACCCCTTTTAGTTTGTGATTCACCCCCTCTTGTCCAAGATCAACCCAACAGTTGAAGGGGTAGGGAGAATCATATCTAAGTTACTCGCATCTAGTCGATAAGTTGCGCTTAGGGGGAATGATAAGAGACTCGTGTGACAGATTTGAGTTTACAAATTTGTATGATAGAGTTATTGACGTAGCCTTCATCAAGTTATCTCGAGTAATTCAAATCTTGAATTTAAAAATAAGTTTTCTTTAATTTTAATATTGATCTTCAAGCTAAATCCAGATGTTATTTTTTCATAGATTTATTCGTTATCATTTTTGGGATTTTTTTGCAAAATTATGATTCAAATTCTTGGTGTGTCTCTCACTTTTATCTATTAAACTCAAATGACGTAGTTAAAATATTTTAGAAATAAAGTATTAATTGGTAATTAAAATTTAAAAATATTAAGTTTTGAAAATTAAAACAAATATATTTTTTAAAAATGGAAAAGTAATTTTCATAATTTAACAACAGTTGTGTATACGCCTTCGAGATCCGACAATCTGCGGCTATCTCATCACCATTCACGCCGGCTGATTTGCGGTTTTCTTCTCTCCATCTTTCTTTTAATTTCAATTTCTTTGCCTTCTGGTCATTGATTATTGGAACAATCGCCCACCGCCGTTTGCCGATCTCCTCCAGCCTCCCTAAATTTATTCTCACCTTAAGGTAAACCCTAGCAGCAGCTTCTAATACTCTAATAGCCTAATCCTCCATTTCCTTTTTGATTTTATTTGTTTTTACTATTTTCCATTTCCTTTTTGTGTTTCAGTCCAATGGTTTGTAGACTCTCTGTTTAGTTTTTATTTGAGCTTTGTTTGGTTAAATGATGGATCATGAGTTCTCTACCATTGTCAATTGCCTAGAAATTGTATGATTTCTTAGTGAACTGCAATTTTTTTTGTTCTGTTGACTTTATATGTTTATGTATTATGATTATGAAGTATTAAATAGATCCATATACACAACTATGTCCGTGTGTGTAGTGTTAATGACCCTTGTCGGGGCTTCTTATATTGAAAATCTTGTTTCAGTTGTTGTATGTATGGCTGGGGAGGATAAGTGTCTGCTCATGAAATAGAGGGAGAGATAGGGCAAGGGGGAGAAGAAATTGAACAAACAGTTCCTCTCGGTTGGGATTTCACGGTTATTTTGAGGCCTTATGGATAGTTTTCAGATCTTTGTTCTGCACTCTTGGATATGTTCAATACGTCTGGATGATTTTTCTTTTTAACCTTGTCCCATGATATCTTGTTGTTGCTATGCTTTTGTTTAAAGCTGCTCATTCCTGTCTGTTGCAACGCCAGGTGGTGAATCATTAAATTGGGAATGGGGGATACTGAGGTTGACGGTAAACTTAAAAGGATGGTGTTTGTTACCGTGGGAACAACGTGTTTTGATGCTTTGGTTAGAGCAGTAGACACTGAGCAAGTAAAACAGAAATTATATGCTAGAGGCTACACCCACCTTCTCATTCAAATGGGACGTGGTACATATAATCCAACCGAGGTATTTTTTTGTGTATCATTTCTTATGTTACTTGTTACCTAGTTTCATTTCAATAAATGTGGTCTTAGGTTGGTTTATAGTGCTTTCAAACCGTATTTAACATTTTCATTGTGATGAAAAACCATGTTTCATTTTTTTTAATGAAAAAGTTACAAAAGGACAAGCCCAAGTCTAAAAGGAGCTTAAAATTACAAAAAAGAGGGTCCAGTTGTTTAGAATTAGAATTAACTCATAGTTACAGAAGAATTATCATGTAGTTCAATATCTGAAGGGAGACATCGAAATATTCCAAACTTTTAACCTCCTCTGAAGAAATCTCTACACCCTTAAAATTCAATCTACTGTTTTCCAATCAAATATTCTACCAAATAGTAGAAAAAAGTGCCAAGTAAAGAAAGCTTCCCTAACTTGGAATGGTGAATGTAAATTGCAAAAGGGCCTTCTCAAACATAAATTTTTATTTAATCTCAACGTTTTTTTTTAAGGACTTCCCCAACACAGATTGAAAGTCTCTAATCAACTTTAGACTAACACTCACAAATTTTCTGGGTAAATGACATTTCCATGAAATGTGCTCCATATCCTCCATTACATCTGGCATGTATAGGAGGAGAACACACACCGTCTAGACTCTGAATTCGTAGAAAAAGTCAATGATGTTAGTCCTTTATGAGAAAACAATCTAGAGAAAAATTGTCACTCTATATCTGGTACAACGATTGTCGGTAATGTTTCTCCCTTCAAGGCTCAGATTTTCCTAACTAAAACTAAATTCCTCTTAAATTACTTTCATAGAATTAGACCAAAAACCTCTCACTTCAAAAGTGGATGGATGGCCATACAACATACAAAGGATTGACCATCTAACAATCCTAGGGAAGACTGGAAGCTAAACAAATTCCATAAAGATCTTCCAAAAATTTATTGAAAGAGAGAGTATCACATGAAAAAATGATCAACATCCTCATGATTTAACTCTACTGAAGAACACCCTGCTTTGAGAGCACATGTAGAGTCTCATTTTGATCTTCTTCCAAGTTTTGAGGCTTGCCTGAAAGATATTCCAAGAAATTCTGGTCTAGCCCTTTTCCAACCAGCCTCCGGCTTGGACCTGCATGAACTTTGATTTTTTGCTGTTGTATATATAATTAAAAGTAATTTCCTTTTTTCTATCAAAAAGTTTAAAGTGATCTATAATGCAACATCTTCTCAATTCTCATAAAATACATAATGTGCAGTATCATGGAGAAGATGGGCTTGTTGTAGAATATTTCTCTTTCTCTTCAAGCATAGCAGATCATCTAAAATCAGCATCTCTTGTAATTAGCCATGCTGGTAAATTGCCTCAAGTTTCTGCTTTTATACTTTATTGTCCATACAATGTGATTCAAAGTATTATTTGGTCTCTGGGTTATGACTGGCATCTCCTTATCTAGATGATATGAATCATGATTCGTTAGTGTTATTTCTTGTAATTTTGTCATCTGGTGCACTTGTTTCTATGACATGCACGTTGATATAGGTAATATCCTCAACATCTGAATTAATGTGCTATTTAATCTGAGAGAAAATATTAGCATACAGTTTAATGGTTCCTTTTGTATTTTTTTTTATTTTTTTTTACAAAGGACATAAAGAACTTGTATTAACACAAAAAAACAAACAGCTTAGGACTGGGGGGAGAGAAATGCTTTCCTTCCACAGCAGCCATAAAAATCTCTAACAGCATGATTCCACAAAAACTTGGCTCTATTTTTAAGTCTTGTCCCTGCCAAGCATTCGATTAACCACTTTTGAAAGGCAGACTTAGGCGCACTTCACAGAAAAATCCACCCTTGAAGAGGCACACACCTGGGCACCTAAAACCTGATCATTTTAATTATACTGTGGCGTCTAAATGAATGAAGTTATCTATTGTGTGACTTGTAAAAAGTTAAAATTTTTAGGTTTATACTTTATGAGTTTAATATGGAAACTTGCATTGTTGAGTCATTTGTTGGATGCATTTTATTTTTACCAGAAACTAAATGATTTGAAATTAGAAAAATGTAAAAAGGGAGCGAGCCGATCCCAGATCGAAGGAGATTTTCAAAAAACACCTCCAATTTGACAAAAGCGGAATCATACTGTAACTTTTAAATTGATGGTAGTTTTTACACCTAGAGCCAAGGAAAAGATTTGAAAAAAATATCACAGTTTTTCCCTTTTCCTTGAATGTTCAAGTGTCTCTTTCATTCCACGTGGACCACAAAAATACCCCAACAAATTAGTTCCAAAGAATTTTTCACTCTGTTGAATACCCTTCAAGGACTAAAGTTAGCATACCCAGAGAATCCTCTTGGAGGGATGTGTACCAACTAGAGGAGAAGGTATTAGGTCCCAAAAACTAGCAGCGAAGGAGATGGAAATAAAATTATCGCGTTTGATTCTGTCATTTTTTTTTCTTGTATATAGGGAACCAGTTTGGGGAGAATTTCCAGCCTTGGGGTTCTATTTTGGAGGTTGTCATGGGAAAAAAGTGGCTAAGCTCCCAAGGGAAAATTTTTACCGTATTTGGGGAATTTATCCTTCCAGACTCTATAAAAGTGGGTGCTATTTGATAGACCCCAAGCCACAAGGACGTGTGCTAGATAACCTGTAGAGAGTGTACCACCACAGTTCAGCTTCCAAAACCGAAAGTCTTCTCTGTTTGAAAAGTGAAAGGATGATAAAGCCTGGTGTAGTCATGCCCACTCTTGAATTTTTGTGTCAGCTGTTGGATGATAATCCTTTTCATCCTTCCTTCATATTTTCAATGCCAGGAAAGTCAGAACTCATTATGTCCTGTTTATCCTTCATAATTATGGCTGGAACCAAAAATCTTGATATAGACCAAAATTCTATACTCATAAATACGCACACACAAAGCATAATATTTCTTTAAAACGGTGGGGAGAATTAGTAGAAAGGTTTAAAAAGTTTTTTCTATATATAATTTTTTTCAATCTAAGACAAACTACTGCGCTCCTTTGTGCTTGGGTCTGTTCTTGACGTTTGGTTCCAATTTGTGCAGGTTCCGGCAGCATATTTGAGACACTGAGACTAGGTAAACCTTTGATTGTGGTAGTGAACGAAGATCTAATGGACAATCATCAAATTGAACTTGCAGAAGAACTCGCTGAGAGGAAGCATCTGTATTGTGCTCGTCCCCAAACGCTACATCAGACTATAGAGAGCATGAACTTGGACTCTCTCATTCCATACACACAAGGTGATGCTAAACCAGTTGCAAGACTCATCAATAGGTTTCTAGGTTTTCCTGAAGATTGATGAGGTTGTAAAGCCTCTTTCTCCAAATTAAACTCTTTAATTGTTGTAGTTTTAAATGTTAAATAGGAATTGCATCATCTTGCGAACCTGAGCATACATCCAACTTGTTAACATATTATATCTCAGCCAAAAGGTTATTGATTCGATTCCTCACCCCACATTTTTGTACTCAAAAGAGTGGCATGTTTTAGACACTGCCAATAGGTACCATAATTTTTGTGTTGTTTACCAAACACTGAGGAAACATATTCTGTCTTTTCCTTGCTGCTTGTTCAAAGCATCTTCCATTTCTGATCTACGAAATGGAAGGAAACTGAGAAATTCCTGAGCATAAGCATATACTTCCTGTACTTTTTCACGAACCAAGGTCTGATTCTCATCTCAAGTTTAACTGTTCATTTCAAGAAGCCACATTGATTGGCTACAGATACCCTTCTATATTGCTTGTTGTAAGATGGCAGGTACCTACCCTTCTATGTCCAGTCAGTTTTGACGCTTTCCAGAAAGTGGTAGAGAAGCTGCTTTTGGCATCAATGATATTCCTGGGCACGTGAGTGATGCTGATTGATCCGCCATTGAGTGATGAAGATCACCAAGTCCTCAATTAATGACACTCATCATATTTGGAAGAGCCTTTTGATCTTGAGTGGAGTTTGACTCTTATATTTTGACTTTGGCAGTAATTGAACCAAGGCCAGCTAGTCACCAATGTACAACAAAAGAACTACAAACAGCAATGTGTATCCTGTGAGCTCCAGTTCAGCATGTTGGTAGGAGAGAAGAGCTGATACAAAGTGAAAGAGACTGTCAAAGATAAGAGACAAAATTCCACACATGCAGAGATAATGGTATTTGACAGTGGTGTTGGGCCAACCTAAGCTAGGCGCATAGCAATGTCCCTCTCAATTGCTTGTAGAATTGTGAGTATGTTCATATTTGATTACAAGAAATTGGTTTGAAGTGTTTTATTTCTCAATATTTGTGTTAGAAGTCCTTTAGACATTTATTGTTTTTCTTTCCTTCACTAGAATTTGGACTTTTTGTATCTCTAACATCGTTTATTCAAATCAATTAGGAGACTTTTTTGTTGTTGAAATTACTAGATATTCCACAAGATTTTGAATATCGTGTTAGATATCATTATTGGAAACATTTTAGACTCTTCGAATTTGATAAGTTGATATAACATGTATACTATTTCCCATAAGATTGATGACTCGATACTTGAGTTCTACATTTAATGTTGAGCTAAAAAAAAAGGACAACTAAATTATTAAATCCGAAGGTTCGAGATTTAGTTCTTTCAGTAGTAATGTCTTTACGAAGGTCGCTAACAATTAGTTTCACAATATACTTATACGCATGAAACTAATTATATTTGTAAAAATTTAAATTTATAACCATCAAACTAATTGTATAATTATAATTAACAATTCATATCATACCATACGTGTTTTAATTTAACAAAAATAAATTAAATTTATAACATGAAATATTATATGTATTATTAATTTTACAACCTTTGGGATAAAAAAAAAAAAAAAAAACACTAAAATCCAAATACCCCAATATGCCTTTCAACCAACCTTAGAAATTAAAATACTATTTCATTGTCACTCGGTTCTCTTCTTATTCAACAATCAAATGAATTTATATTTAAAAAGTAATATGGAATATTTAGCAATCAAATGAATTTATACGAATATTTAACAATCAAATAAATTTATATTTAAAAGGTAATATTGGAATATCTATCGAAGTGAATGAGTAATATTGAAACTTTTTCGAATATTCTTATGGTCAGGTCCTGATATGGTTCAAATTTGAAATGAAAAGAAGGTGCTTCCTTCACCTTTGACTCTATGACTTGACCTTGCGGCTCCAAAAGCATTTCCCTCGCCTTTGTTAGTCAAAGCCTTGCTTTTACGCCGCGATTGGTCAAGTTCCAAAACTTGCGCCAAGCAGAGATCTCTCCACACCAAGGAACCACAATGAATCGTCCTTCCTTTTTCTTCCAATTAGTGAAGCGGGAGTCGGTAAGTTTGCTCTTAGCTTCGAAAACACTTTTCGATACGTAGGAGGAGAAGTCAATCATGCATCCAATTAACTATGTTTTTGAACCAACGACAAAATTAAAGATTATTATGATATATAAAATATTAATGATTGTGATGTGAGTTTGGTGGTAAAATGATTAAAAAAACATGTAATAAGACAACGAAAAACCCAATAATAAATGCTGTTTTTTTTCACTCCCCATTGACTTTCACTTTCTTCACCCCCAAATAACTCTTCATTTCTACACATCCTCCACCTCCCCCTATTCAATTTTATTATTTTAAATACAACGAACCACTTTCTAAGCTTCCATTCTTAAAGATACAGATCGATCCAGTACTCTCTCAATCGTCATACACCTTAAAATATCGTATTTTTTTTATGTCTAGTCTAATTAAATTTTTTTTTATTGAGTCGAATGTATAAAATAAATTTAATAAAAAAATCAACCTGATTTATTTCGTTCTACTTTCGTCAATAAAAGATACATTTAATTGATAATTACAGGTTTATGGTCTGTCACATGAGTTTAAATTGTATGGTCATTGATAGCGTTTTGAATATCGTATTATTTAGTAGATTAAAAAATATTATTGGGAATGGGAATGTGGAAATGTGGGTGGCACGGTTGCATATATCACTTACCCAATACCCACTCGCTATCTCCTTACCTCAAAAAATGTCTCAAGTGGTCCTCTTTCAAATAATGCATTCGTTTTCACTCCAACCAATTTATCAAATAATATTCACACTATTACCCCTTTTTTTTAAATCAATTATTTTCATAAACAAAGATAAACACGGAGGGTCGAAGAGTACATGGGGTGTGGAAATCTCTCCCTAACAAACGGTTTTAAAATCGTGAGACTGAGACAATATGTAACGGGCCAAAGTAGACAATATTTTCTAGCGCTGGGGTTAGACTATTACAAATGATATTAGAGTTAAGCATTGAGCGGTGTGATAGTGAGGACGTTGGGCCTTGAAGAGTGTGGATTGTGAGATCCTACCGCAGTTGAAGAGAGGAATGAAATATTGTTTATAACGGTGTGGAAACCTCTATTTAGTATACACATTTTAAAACCGTGAGACTGACGACGATACGTAATGGGCCAAAGCCGGCTGTGAGCTTAGGTTATTATTACATGTACTGATGATCAGATTACTACAATCGCGTAAAAAAAACCTTTCCCCACACTTCCCTTCACCAACATGTGGCATGTGCATTCATGTTTAAATTCCTATATTTTGTATTTGTTTTTATTTTCCGTAAATTTCAGTGTTTCAAATGTAAACATATAACACGGTAACTGTGTTTTTCAGAGAAGAGAGATATTTTAAATGTTTTCGACATTTATACTTAATGTTTTCTTTTAAGAGTTATATTTCCGCATAAGAGAAGAGTATGAAACGATGGTAGTGACTTTGAATACGTAGAAATTATATGATGCATCTACTCGTTCAATGCCTTAATTATAAAACCTCCAAATTTTAAATCTTGATTCAAATCTTAATTCAGATCGTGTGTATGAATCGTTGTAATAAGAGTGCGAGTCCTTTGTCGAGAAATGCCTAATTAGGTAATATATTGTATTATGATAAGAATGAACGTGAGAGGGAGAAGAGGAAGAGACAAGGGATGTCCTGTTTGAAAGGGAAGCTCAACCTCCATTAACATATTACCACATTACCTTCTCAATCTATCATCCCTCTCTTCCTTTCTCTCTCAAACCCCATTTCCTTCCATGGAACCCAACACTTCACCGCCACCAAAATACCATATCCACCGCCATAACTATTCCAATGCCAACCACCACCACCACCACCACCACCGCCACCACAGTGCCATTCTCAGCTCCAACTCTTTCCTCATCATCATTTCCTCCATCATTTCCATCGCCATTCTCCTCGCCATCCTCCTCCTCATCTTCATGCTCCACCGCCTCAAAACCCCATCAAACCCTGCCACCGCCGCCGCCGCCTCCACCGCCCACACAGCCATCCATTTTGACTCCAGCCCAGGTAAAATACAACCCATTTTGTTCTTTATTATTGAAAGTAATTGTAGCTGAATGTACTTAATTGGTTGTAGAAGTGAAAGGGGGTGGTTGTTTGTACGGTGGGAATTCAGGGAGGATTCCTCAATACAGAATCAGGGGAGTTCAGGTTTTCACTTACAAGGAGCTGGAATTGGCCACTGATAATTTCAATGAAGCCAATCTCATTGGGAATGGAAGATTTGGGGCTGTTTACAGAGGGGTTCTTGGAGATGGAGCCGTGGTTGCTGTTAAAATGCTCCACACAGATGGCAAGCACAGGGAACGTGCTTTCAGAATGGAGGTCAATCACTCTCATTAACTCTTCTCTCTCTCTCTACATTTGTTTTCACTTCCATGTCATCCAAATATGAGCCTAGTTTTTGAAGTTGGGATTACCCATTTCGATCCGGGTTGGGTTGAGTTGGGTCGATTTTTCTTCTAAAATACAAGAGCTATACACTTAATGGGTGCAATTTAAACGCGATGAATGTGATATGACACTCCTGTTACAGGTATTGGTCCTTTTGGTTGTGTTGGATTTGCGCATTTCGTTGCTTTTCATGATCGAGTTGAAACATTTTCTTGCCATGATTTTGAAGTTTCGTGGTCGTTTTTCGAGTTCGAAATTTAAATGGATGAAATTGAAAGTTTAAAGATGCAGGTGGATTTGCTGAGCCGCTTGCACTCTCCTTGTTTGGTGGAGTTGCTTGGCTACTGCGCTGACCAACACCATAGGCTACTGATATTTGAATTTATGCACAATGGTACTCTTCATCATCATCTACATAATCCCAACACTGAATCTAAGCCATTGGATTGGAATACTAGATTAAGGATAGCCCTTGATTGTGCCAAGGCACTTGAGTTTCTCCATGAGCATGCAGTTCCGTCTGTTATCCATAGAAACTTCAAGTGCACCAATGTTCTGCTAGATCAGGATTTTCGAGCCAAGGTGTTCGATTTCAGTTCGGCCAAGATGGGCTCTGATAAGATCAATGGTCAAATATCTACACAAGTACTCGGAACAACAGGATATCTTGCACCAGAGTGAGTTGTTTCATCCTTATGTGGATTGCTCGTAAGCCAATTACGATCGTTCCATTGATTATAGATTCTATATGTGTAGGTATGCTTCAACAGGTAAACTCACAACAAAGTCAGATGTGTATAGCTATGGTGTCGTGCTGCTAGAGCTTTTGACGGGTCGAGTGCCCGTTGATATCAAGCGGCCACAGGGCGAGCACGTTCTTGTCTCATGGGTTAGTTAATTCCATTACATTTCAACAAGCTACAAGGCCAGAGAAAGCTACCCCTACCCCTAAATGTTCTTGTCTGATAGATTAGTATATGACTTCTAGGCTCTCCCAAGGCTAACCAATAGAGAAAAAGTAGAGAAAATGATCGACCCAGCCATTCAAGGAAAATACTCAAAGAAGGATCTAATTCAGGTTTGTTAAGCCTTCTATTGCTTATCTGACTCCTTTTTTGATGACCCTTATAAGCAATCTGTTCTCAGGTTGCAGCCATTGCAGCAATGTGCGTGCAGCCCGAAGCCGACTACCGACCTCTGATGACCGACGTCGTGCAGTCACTGGTTCCTCTCGTAAAGAACCCATCTTCCTCATCTAGATTCTTCAAATGAGACTCATTTTACTCCATTTAGTGAAAACTAGTCCCTGTCCAAGTGCATCAACAAAGCCTTCAAGAACAGATCAAGGTATGCATTTTAGAGCATGTCAATGTGAGCCTGCACAGGCTACAACCATCTATATTAAACATCTCTTCATCATAAACTAGACAATGTACATGAACGTTTTGATTATCATTTGAGCCTACAAAATATTCTTACTGTAAACTGTCAAGAATTCTGTCTTTTTTCAATTCATTCACATATCTTGTTGCTGCTAACATGCTAACATGTTCATCGAGTCGAAAGCTTAACTGGAGATCTCGTAAGCGAGAGCTTAGGATTAGACACGTACTACTTAAGGAGCGCCTTTCGAAGAGTATAAGTTACGACTTTGACTCTAATTCACCAGTTATTCACATAGTTTAGCTCGGAAATATGAACTTTCTTTCCCTCGATCCATCACCTCCAATCATTGAGCCATTGGGTGCAAGAGTTGAATATCTAGGCAAGCAGCTTTTTGAGATAGATATCATGTTAGGTAGCCATTACATAACTTTTAGTCTCAAATCTAGAAGAGAACAAAGGAATCTTGATGAGTATAAAACAAGAATGAGAGATAGAAGCAATCTAGAGGGTGGTAGCCAAGTTTAAGCCACAGGACCAGCAAAGCCATAAATTTTACAATCAAGACAAAAGATCCAACATGTTCATCCTTAGCTCATTTAAAGTTAACCACAGCATGTTGGCAGTGATGAATCCTTCTTGTTTACCCTCTAAATTATGATGTAGACAGACGAAGGGCTCAATAAATTTTGGTGAATAAGACAATGTTTCTTTCTTTTGTGATCGAAGTGTTTGTATAATTGTGTTGTTTCTTAGTAGATGAGTTTAAAAAGTTGAAAAGACAAATGCTGTGGGAATCTTAGACGCTATATTGCTTACAAGGAACAGACAAAAGAAGCTAAGAGTAGAGAGAGTTTTCTTTTCACGAGATGGGGTCGAACCATCGATTTTTGGAACTGTAATAAGTTTTTTTTATTTACCAAATCATGTTTAGATTGAAAACTGTGAAATCTTTATAGATTTGTGAACCGTTCGGGCGCTCAGTGAAGAAAATGGAGGGAGGAGAGAAAAGGGGAAAGGGATCCGTAAGTGTAGGTCTCGACGTTCCAGACGGTTTATTATGACTCATCTACCTGTGTAGTCCATAGTCCCCTTCCAAGACTGGCTAACGCGCGTCAGTCTTGATATGTTCTATAAACTCATTATAGACGCTCTCCTTGTCATCTACCGGTGTAGTCCCTTGTCTCTTCGAAGACCGATTTACAGAGTTGCAACGTGGGCCTTGACTCGTTTCTACACTCAATAGAAGTATTCTCCTTGTCAACTACTCGTGTAATGGTCCTATATTCACAGATCTAAGAACGTTTAGAAAACTTGATTTCCCGACTTCGGTTATCGACGATAATCCGCACGGAAGAGGTACAAAATTTACCCTATGATGATGCATAGTCGCTAAGGACCCTCCTCGTGGTGCTAACTACGTTTTTCGGCGTCGATTAAGGGATTTTTCGCCGTGGGTTATCTCGCTCGAGTTCCCTCTCTCGGATTCTTTCCTTTTTCTCAATGTTTCCAAGTGGTCCGAGGGATTCTGGGAGTTGGCTGAGTAACGTTTGCTGAGGATTGGCACCTTGGAGGGGAACGTGGAGCGTTGCTCCCTGTGGGATCCGCAAAACGCGGCGATCGCCGAAAAACTCGCAGGTCTTCTGGCGACTGCGTTTTTTTATTTCTTCTTTCTTTCTTTTTCTTTTTTTTTTTTCTCGGGTTGTTACAACTCGTGTAGTCCTTAGTCTCTTCCAAGACCATCTTACGGAGTTGCAGCATCGACCTTGACCCATTTCTACACTCAATCAAAGTATTCATCCTGAACCACCTACCCGTGTAGTCCCTAGTCTTTCCAAGACCGATTTACGGAGTCACGACGTCAGCCTTGATCGGTCTCTATATTCAATAGGAGTCCTCATCTCAAGCTAACTACTTGTGTAGTCCCTCTTCAAAATGGTTTAGTGAGATCACGATGTCAACCTTGTCCCGACCCTACACTCAATAGTAACACAATTGGCCTCAAGGTTCCGATACACTTCCTTAATCATACTTAAAATTCATGGAGGATTGATTAGACGAATTGTATGACATATTATGACACACGACACGTGTTTCATAGCCCATGCACGTGCATGATTATGATTGGTTTCACATGTTCTATGTTGTGTTATGCTATTGTGGAATCATATTTATGATGCATAAAACTCCATGTACCACGCCATGTAAAATGTTAAGTATGAAAGATATGACATGAATGAATAGCGCACGCATATTTCATAGACTCGTTATGTTATGAATGAAAGGAGGTATGGGGACCTTATGCATTTATGTATATCATGTGCATTGGGGTACTTCCTCGTTATGATCAGTACAAACTCATACTTTAGGATATTTAGGTTTGTCATGATATTATGCAAGCTCTTTTCCTCCGTGGTGTCCGCTAGCGTGAACGTGCACTAGCCCGACAAGCCAGGCCAAGGGGATATGTATGTGAGCTCGCTTGGTGGGTCCATGGGCGCATGCATGAGTCATGTATAGGAAAGTACTACACATTCAACCCTATTCGGACTAGAAAAGGGAGCCCAAGTCCTTGCCATATTACATGTGATTGAATTTTTCGACTCCAACAGTGGGTTTACTTACTAAGTATTTCTTAAAACACTCAAATCACGCGCTACTCTTATTTTTCAAGTAAAGAAAAGACACTTCAGTAAGAATGACGACGCCGTGGTGACGACCATGAGACCAAAGTTAAGGTAGATGCATTCACGTTGTTTTTGTGGCCCCTAGGTTAAATCTGGGAATTGTTTTATTTTTTTTACTTTATTTAAATTCAAGTTATTTGTTTTCCACATTAACGTATTAATAACTTTACTACGAGCATGTAAGTTCATGGAATCGTTTATGAAATATTTAAATGATTTTTTCCTACTAAATAGACATGTCATGCATACAATAACGACCGTTACAAATTTTATCCTAATAAAAAATTATTTGATTACAAATAATCAATAAGTAACTAATTATAATTATTAAAATATAACTTTTTGTACCAACTTAATTTAACTCATCCTAATTAACTTGTTAAACACGTTTAAGACAATATAGCTAATTAATTAATTAGTTGAATAAATAAGTAATCACATTCACTTTACAGAACTTTTCTTTTTAGAAAGGAATTAAGTAAATATTTTAATAAAATATTAATTTGAGAAAATTAATCCCATTAGTTAATTAATTAATTAACTATGTTTAAAATATATATAAAATCAAAAGCAAAGGAAGAAGGGACCACAGAAAACCTGCATTTTTTTTTTTTTTTTTTTTAA